GGTTTGGTCGGATTTACGTACTTTGTGTGGGATGGAAGCGTAACGTCACCTTATCAACCATGTACGTGATATACTGGTAGTCTCAAAAATCTACTTATAACAAAAAAATATGTAATCTTGCCGATTGCTATAGCATATACAATTGTGCTTCATCCACAGTCCAATCACAAAATGTGATATGGGAAAATGCCTGAACTGAAAACTCGTGGAAATGTGGCGTAGTGACTTGAGTGCCGAGATTATATGCAGTGCTGTCATGGTTCGAGTCCCGCTGGGGGTACTGATGATTAGGTAGAGATGAGGGGGAAACTGAGGTCCGACCAAGCCGGTATGAGAATTCCTGTTTGGAAAATAAGACTATGTAAAATTCAATGAAAATGCAAGGTCTACTCTTATAATTGTGGGAAAAATCAATTACCTCAAACGAAATAGGATGAATAAATCTGATATATCTGTTCTACTGGTAGCCACAAAACCCCGCTTATAAGCGAAAAAATTGGCATAATTTTTCTGTCTGCGGTAAATTGATGTGGCTCTCAATACCAAACACGGAATCAATAAAGCAGGCCAACTGGAATCCTATCTACTTATTTTAGTATTGGTTAAGTCGCTTTTAATATTGTCCCTAATGCTTGAACAAGAAATTAGCTAGCCTAAATCGCCTAAGGTAATTTAATAACTGCTATTTGAGTTTTAGCACTAATACTAGTAACAGTAGTAGTAATTTTTGATTTAATAATATTCGGGATTATCAGTATATATATATATATTTATTTATTTATTTAAGGAAAGATCGTTGAATGTTCCTACAATCATATAACAATCTCGAGGACTACTTAAATCAAATACATTTGGACAATTTTTCGTTTATAAGTAGGTTTTAGAGACTACCAATAGATCATACATATGAGATGTGTTCACCCTATTTCGTTTAAGGTGATGAAGGTTTGGTAGTTGAATTTTCCCATAATGCTATGAGTAGCCAAGACGTTTCCATTGAATTTCACATAGCCCTTCTTCCTAAAAGATATTCTCATCCAGACTGAATGGAATGCAGTCTCGACCTCGCCTAGGCCTCAGACTCTAACCGTTAGTGTGTTGAAATTATTCGCTGCACTATCACGTTTCGCGTCCCACTGAGTGTGTGGATGAGACCTAGACGGTCGAAACTGGAGTACAGACTAGTCTGGATGAGAATACTTTTTTTTAAACGTAAGGTCTATTCATCTCATTGTGGCGAATTTCAATTACCAATCCTGTATCACGTTAATGAAATTGGATGAATATATCTCATGCATAAGAACAATGTTGTGCATTGCATCGAATTGCTTGACGACTATTCGTAATTTGGTGAATTTCTCCGTGTTAACTTGAAGAACATACCCTGTTCGGCGTTCTCTGCTATGTAGTCATGCTAGTTTCCAGAATCTTTTTGTGAATTTGAGACTTTCTCAGACTTATTTTCAGCATCGTTAGTTAGCATTGACAAGCCTTAGCACCAACCTACGACTCGTCAAAATGGACAAACTTAACTCCTTCACATTTTATGCGGCCCAGAGTGACTAGACCTATTATTCTAAATGTATTTATAGTCTCGATAAACTACTTTCTACGAATAAAAATGTAATCTATCACTTTGACAACCTTGTGCTAAACTATTAGTCCCTGACATTCATCTCACATTTCTCGTCGTATCTCAGGCTGTCGGTGAAAAGAAGTTGAATATACCAAGTCCATAGTTCGATACTTGAAATCATCATGACTACCGGGAGAGAAGACGCCAGACAAAATGCATTCCTTGAGAAAGCGAAGTCAGGCCAATTCAGCACGATGTAAGGATACTCAGAACGAAATAGAACTCACGCTATCTTGGTCCTTTTGCCTTCTTTGCGAGAGTTTTCATACCCCCCTTCTGGATCAGATTGTCACAAGGCTTTTTGCTCGTGTGATAATGTAATAATGTGTATGTGAGCGAGACCTACCGACCATTCCAGAAGGGTTTTCTGAGTACAAAAGCGTCTGAAGGTCCCAAAATCTGCTCTGAATTAATAAACGCGAATAAAAGGCACCAAATAGAATGGTCGAAAGCACAATGTTTTTGCCGAATACGTAGACTTCACATGAAAGCCTATAACTAGAGGGTGCCTACAAAGTGACAGAAATACCTTTAGGGAATGGCGGGAGGTGAGACGGTGAAGCGAGGTCGAGACTGCAGTCCAGTCCAACCGAAATGAGAATACCACATGAAGT